TGAAGATTATTTGTTCACCCTTGTTGTTGAGTTTCAATTTCTATTAATTTTCTGGATTTAGGAAATACAAAACCTCTGCAGACCAATATTTAACTTGTCCTTTGATGTTGCACTCCAAAGTTCAAATTAATAAGTCCAGATTCCAAAATATGCACAAGTATATTTTGATTTGCACATTACCATGTCTCAATACTTTAGGCAGTCAACAGGGGTCATGTCATGAAACGGGAATTAACAACCCTTTTTCTATGGGGGGGGGGGGGGGGGGGGGGGGAAAGGGGGCCCCCTTCCCCAAATAAGGGCCACCAGGGGGTGGGGGGGTGGGGGGGGGGGGGGGGGGGGGGGGGGGGGGAGAGTAAGGGTGCCCCCTTACCCAAATGAGTGCCATCTAGGCAGCCATTCTGGCAAACGGCCAAACATCCAAAGAACACACACAATCCCAGTTCCCTCATTGGTCAATCTGGAGAGCCACTGGCAGAGGTGCTAGCAGAGGAGGAGAATATCATCACTTCGTCTTGAACTGTCTATCTGACAACATCTTTTATCTGTGACCTTTGTGCAAGTCTTATTGTTTGTGACCAAGAAATATACCAAGTGTTTGTGGAGAAGAGGTCATCTTTACCAACATCCGTATTGGGACGGGTCTCAAGACAGGTTGACCCCCGTTGTCTGCCTCCTTTTACAGTTCCCTTTCCAGTGTCTACCCAAACAACCAAAGCAAACAAAAAAGTCTTTAGCCTTACTAGCGCGGTCATCCACTTCCAATTTAGAGAACACACCACACTTGCTCAAATAGTGCTTCTGTTGGCACATATGACACTCTGGTCCTTCAGATACTTTTTTGGGTTGTGATGGCGTTTCCTCCACAGAAAACTTAGCCTTTTTGGAGTATTTCTTTTTTGCTTCAGTTTTTACCTCTGACTTTCCAGCTGACGTTTTGTCTCAAGGTTTAATTCCAGACATTGGCAATTTATCTGCAGTTCTAGTCTCAAAATTGTGCAACATTTGGATTTTCTCTTTGCTCAGCATATCAGCGTCAAGATCCATGATCTTGTCAACCCATGCCAATCAACTGAAGTTGGGCATTTTTGCTACCAATAAATCAATCATCATTCCAAATCCCTTGTTGGGGCAGGCAATCAAATATTGTCTGATCACAGAACCAATTAAGGAACTGTTATTATCCCAATCCTTTAAATTATTCAGTTTTAGCAACTTCAAGGAATTTACCTTGGCCATCAATTCTGCATTTTGGACCACAGAGCAATCATATCTGGGGTCCAGAATTTTCAGTGCCATTGCCATGGAATTATCACTGTTTTCAACATGGCTGAGTGCCTCTAGGGCCTTGCCTTCCAGCATTGCCTTTAATTTGGACAATTTAAAAGTCTCTGAGTATCACAGATGGTTTTGGACATTGTGTATAACGTAGTCCTTCCACTTGCTATACTCAATAGTTTTGCCAGAGAAATTTTTTCTCTCAAGGATGGGAACAGACCATGCTGTCTCCTTTTTTTCCACATATTTTTCTATAGCCTTAGGTGTTTTTCTTGCAGAGACACTTTGTGACTTCCCTGTTTAACAATTTAATATCATTAGGGTTGCCAGCCCTATTTCTTTTTTGGCCAGCTTTGTAGGAATACTCAGAATCATCATTGGACGTTTCAGAGTCAGGGAAGATCTTGTCTTCCTGCTCTTCTGGATTGCAAGGTTTGCCACACCTTGGACCTTTGGGTTCAGAAGGATTGCCAGTCCTCTGCCCACTTGTTTGTGCTTGGGTCCTGCTATCAGCAAAGTACGTCAGCAACAAACCATTTTCAGACTTGTCACCATCTTGTGGTCAAGATATGGTCATTTCATTTTGATATGTTCTTACCACAGGCTTCTCAAGAGCCGCCTGGGCTTCATCAATCAAATCTTTGCCTTGCTCTGCAAGCAGAGCAAGGTCCTCAAATTGGAGGTCACCATCTGTGATGGCTTCCTCATAATAATCATCTGCAAACACTTGGTTTGCTTCAGAAAGCATCTGCTCAAGTTGTTGCCTGAGTACTCCCTCATGAGGTTTCTTTGAGAACTCCTCAAACTTGGCATCAAGTACACAAAATTGAACAGACATCATTTGATTTAAAATTGAAATAGGTTTCCCCCCAGAATTTGAAATGTGCGCCAGTCTTTCAAGGTTTGCATCAAAAAATTTTTGCAAAGGATTCAAAGAAGCACACAGAACAGTTGCAGCATCCAAAACAATTTTGCGCAAAACATTTGCCAAAACAACATCAAATGCAACATCAGCTTCATCTTCCTCTTCCCTAACTTTGCAAACATTTGAACTAACTTCCCTGACACTCTCAGTGCAAATTACCGTCTCCTGGGTTACAGAAGTCCAAGCTGCTGCCTTTGTTAGGTCTGCCAAATAAGCTTCCAGACTCTGCCTCCTCAACAACAGACTATTTTGAGTTGTAGCCCATTCCTCTACCAACTCTTGATTGTGAAAATGTTCAATTCACTCCCAATGTCTGGGTCTGGCAAGTTTGGACCCCAATTGCAGTTTGAATGGTGACATTTCCTACTGCGTTGGCTACTAAACCAATTTCTCTTGCCACTTGCTCATGAATGGTTGTCCTGGCACAACCAGTGTCAAGCAAAGCTACTACCTGCTTGGTTTTCTGGGGCCCTTTTATTTCCAAGGCAATTAACCGCAACGTATGCCTGGATTGGAAGGGAGATTCATTCATATTTCCTGCTGCATACAATAATTCAACCGCCATCATAACAGGAGCTGTCTCCGTTTTTGGTTTAGGCTTTTTAGTGCCATGAATCAAATGATGGTGCCACAGGGAGCAGTGGTCCACCTTACAGCGCATTTTTCTGGCACATTGGCTGTGGCCATGCTTTTTCAAACAACAAAAACATAATTTTAGTTTGTTGAATTTCCACAATCTACTTTCTGGATCCATTTTCCCACATACCCTGCAATCATTGAGCAAGTGCTTCTCTTTGCATGAGAGACAGGGACTGTCCTGTTGGGTGTCTGAGCATGACTCCTCCAAAGTATATTTATGGTCTTTGAATGATTTCTTTTTGAACTCAGACTTGGCCTCAGCCAGACAGCATTTGCCCCATACGCATGGATTTTTTCAATTTTGAAAGCTCAGGAAGGTTCTTGATATTACTGACAAAGTAATCGCGCCAGGCGTGATACTCCAAAACATTGCCATTGAAATTTTTTTGATCCATCACTGGATCTGACCATTTCTTTTCCTGCTTTGCAGGCTGTTTTACAGTCTCAGCAATGGTCTTCAACATTTGATCAAAAGAGTGAGAAACTTTGCCCATCAGCTTTGTTAATTGGGATCCCTTAGGTTTGGAAGACCTGGGTCTGTTTGGATTTGAGAGGTTGCCATCCTCTGATCTTTCATCAAAAGAGTCATCAAGATTTTCCTTGCGCTCATCTAGGCTACTGAGGTTGCCACCCCAGGCCCTTTTTGAATTGCTTTGGGATTGCCAGACCCTAGCATTCTGAGTTCAGTAAGGTTGCCGCTCTTCTGACTCTTCTCACTCATTGACTTTGCTTGGTTCTCACTATCAGCAAGGAACCTTTGCATAAACATTTCTTTGCCAGGTTCTTCCTTTCTGGATAGTAACCTTTGTCCCAAATTTTCTGGGACACCCAGCTCCTCTAGGGTAGCTTGGGCTTCATCAATTTTATCTTGACCCATCCCACAAAGGAGTATGAGCTCTTCAAAGTCTTCATGCTCTTGCTCAATGATATTGTTGCAGATGTAAACACAATTTTTGCATCTGTGATAATTTGTACTAACTGCTTTACTAAAAGATTCTGCCCTGGATTTTCCCAAACATCCTCCAGCTTTTTTTCAATGAATTTCAGCTTCTCTGTCAACAGTTTTTTGACTACAGTAACTGTTTTTGTGCTGGACAATGAAATTATTGAGGGAGCCTTTGGTTTCATAGCTGGGTTTGCTGGCATTACATTTGGGAACCAAGAAATATCTTCTGACACAATTGGGGGAATGGAAATTTTGTGGATTGGTGTTTTATCCCTAACTGCCTCTTATCACCTGATCCACTTTCCTTGGGAAAAGTGGCCAATCAATGATTTTTAGCAGAGAGTAAACCCTTCCGCAATTTAAACCACCCTGCAACCAACCCATGATCAGAGTGATCTTTTCTTTTGGGTTCTTTGAAATACTCTAGCCTAATTTCCCCATGCTTTAACCAATTGTTTATCCTCTCAACTAAACTGTGCCCTTGCTTAAGATCAGAAAACGACTCATAAAAATGTTTTTTGATGCTATTCGGCAGCTCTGTTGTCCTGTTGTTGATCCTCTCCAGGGTGTAGATGCTTTTTCCAGGGAGGTTTGCTTCCTCAACCTGGTGGTCATCCATTGAAGACGTTGATCTTGTTGTAGGATGTCTCCTTTTGCCCCCTTTTTCAGAAGCAGGGGTGTGGTACTCTGTTGCAGACTGCACAGACATTTCCCAACTTTCACAAACACTCAGAGTCCTTTGCAGGAGTGCTGAGACACTCTACTGCAGCACTCAGTTCTTTTGCACAAATTTCGCGCACTGAGGTAACACCAGTTACCCAACAATTGCCCAGAATCCAGTCTGAAGGACCATGTGAAAATGTTCAATTCACTCCCAACGTGTGCGTCTTTTATTTCTTAACGCCGACGCCTTCCATGCACTGGAAGCTATTCACAAATTTTTTACACACGCCTGAGTGTGGCTTGCCAAATCCTGCGTTTGATGGGGTTGGACTGGAAGTCCAAGTTGTCCTAGATTGTTGAAGGAAGACAGTGATGAGGTGACTTCCAGGTTACCAACCAACCAAAACAGATCCGGTCCAAAGGACCATAAAAGAGTTCAACTCTGGGATCTTTTGTTATGTTTTGGAGTTTCACAGTGGAACCTTTTCAAAACACTGATGGGGGTTTGCTTGGCTTTGGTGCAGATTGACCCCTAAACGCCGGCTATTGATGAGTCGGCCTCCCAGTAGACAACAGGAGGAAGATAAATCCAAGAAGAAGACGGATATGCGGGATCCATTGCCTTTTCCAAATGCCAATGAAGTAGAACTGGTGTGGGGATTTAATCCAATTCCTATCTGCCTTTGTCAACTAATAAACGCAAGATAATTTGATGGTGTGAGAGAAATTTTAGACGCCTCCAAAGTTTGTTTTATACTTCTGTATTAAACTCTCAAGCACACCACAGACACTCAGCAGTTGTTTCAGCAAGGATGTAACCAAATCTGATTTACAGCTCTGTCTTTAAAAATAAAAAATCACATGGCATGACACAACTGTCAACAAAATTCTTACAATTCAAACACTTCTTCAGAGTTGAGCTACCCAGGCAAGGCACACTTTTAAATCACAAAATGTCCACTAAAAAATATCAGGAGGTCTGAACCCCACCAGTCCCAAATGAAGAATAACCCAAACATTTGCCCAGCATCCTTCAGCATCCAAATTTGTCCTCCATGCAAATCACAACAGAAATTAATTCATAGAAAAGACAAACCCTCAAGGCCTGAGAATCTCTGCTGCATTCCATTCCCATGCTACACCAAAATAAACTCCAATTTGTTTTGCCAATTTAGGATGCAGGCTGGTAATCCCCATGCTTCCTCAGAATCCAAAATCCTTGTGCCATACAAGATTTGCAACAAAATAAATAGAGGGTGACGCAAGTAGCAAGCGCACTAAAGGCATCCTCCTTTTGTATCACATCAATGATAAAATTTGCGGTTTTCCATCTAACTCAAATAAAATATGCTAAATCAACTAACCTTTGTTAATATTTGACAAATAACTGATGTACCAATCAAACAAATCCAAATAAATTTCCATACTGGCAAGAACTCAAAATAAACAAAACACATGCTTGCCAAGTATTTAGCGCATCATATAATCCATTTCCAAGTCATTTTCCCTTATATAAATATTTGAAGCTGAAGGCAACCAATTTTCAGGTAAGGACTGGTGACACTGGTAACTCATTGTAATTTGAATATCTATGGCCAGAACTAGCAACAATTGTCAAGTCCCTTCCATATAGGGCACTCTACCAGGCATTTTGAAATACCTGCCTCTTTTCAGAGGAGTCTGACCTTTTGCCTGGCCTTGCTAGATAGTCAGAAGCAGGGGCTGCATTGTAAACAACACAGGGCTTACTTCCAACTTTAATTTACATGAGCACAAAGAGAGGGACCTGTCCAAACCCTAGCCTCAATTTATTTAAAATAATCAAATGTCAATGCTCTTCATTCTTGATTTTAACCATCAATGGTAACCATTTTCTGCAAATGGCATAATAAATTCCTCAACCCAGAGTATGCTTTAACCCAACATGGGCCTTACTTGGCATTTGATTGGTATGGCATGTCCAGATGTAAACCACCATCAGCATGGGGAAGAGGAAGACTTTGACTTTGAGAATAGAGAAGTTTTTAGTTCCCACCCCCTTAATTTGTTTGTCTTCTCTGTCCTTTAGGGCAGACTTATCACTTCCCTTCATTTCCTAGGAGCCCTTTTTGTTTCTCAGATCTCAGCAAGTCATCCCTTTCCATACATTTGGCATCAATTGTCTTGGCAGATTTCATATTTGATGTTAAGAAGTCTTTCAAAATGTTATCCTCCATTTATTGAACTTTGACTTTGAGAGGATCCAATTTAGTACTGCCCAATTTTTAGTTTTTCCTATTGCAAACTGAAGTGTGTTGACTTTCTCCACAATTGTGACATTTGGGTTATTCTTACATGAAACACTTTTTTGACCTGTCTTTAAACAGTTCCAACACAAATATTGGGACTTCACAGCTCTGATTTTTTCCTGCAAGGATTTTTCACATCTGAAAGGATTCTGGTTTAATCCATAAAAGGGACACGTCTTAGGCTCTGCAGATTGGTTAAAACTAGTAGTTGCACTAGGTGGATAACTGCTTCCAGGAGGAATGGATTGATGACATTTTTTATTCATCTGCTACAATAATTACTTGTTTTGAGAATGCAACGTTAGGTCTCCTTTTGGAGATACAGAAAGAACCTGATTCTTGTGCTACAATTTTCTCCACCTTGGAGGTTTTTATTTCATTATAAAATAGACCATAATTCTGGTTTTTGTACGCAGAATCAACTTTCAGCCTTTTACTTTCATTATTCAACCTTTTCCAAAACCATCTGTAAATCTGCTCTGGGTTTTGATTCCATGCATAAAGATCTTCATCTGTGATTAATGCTTTTAGAATATCATAAAGATGACCATAAGTTAGATTGTCTTTGACAGTTGACCATATGTGCCTATATGAATATAAGAGATGTCTTCATTGAGAGTTGTTAACTTGGCCACAAGATTCACAATCTTAAACATGTAAGCAGCTACTGCCAATTTTGTCTCAATTTCTGGGGTTAAGGTTTCTATAGTATTGAAAATGTCATGAACAATCTGATCTAGATTTCCAAATTTAGAAAATAGCATCCTTATAAGATCAAGAAAGTCTTCCTCCAATTCATTCTGCTGAAATTCCTGTACTTCACTCAATGTTTGTTCTTTGAAGTGTAAGAAAAGAAGGCTAATTCTTTCCTGTTGTTGTTCCTGGTCAACAACAGGGGCTTGATGAATTGGTTTAAATTTTAACCAAATGCAATTAAATTCATTGTCCAAAGAGGACTCAATAAACTTTAAACTTTTGAAAAGATTTCATTTCCTTTTGCCTGTAGTTCAAGATATAGGAGGCTGAATCAGTACATACAGATTTTCCTTTACCATACAAATTAATCTCTTTTTCAATATAGGATTCATTCAAATTGACCACATTTTTCTCTACTGAGTTGGGAGAATTTTGGATTCTTCTTGTACCACATCATGGAAGTGAGCATGAGTAGTTGGAGTTAATTTCATTGTTATTTATGGCAAGATTTGCTTTAATGTGATTTGATAAAGCAGGGGTCTCATGAGATTGAATTAAGTTAGTTAATACAGAGCCATTTCTTCCAATTCTCTGTCTTCCATTTTTGTAGATTACTCTCAGCCCCCCAGCAGCTGGACTTTGTTTTTGCATTATAATTTTCAGTAAATTTCTGTGTTTCTTTTTAGCAGTTGATCAGGCAAGAACTTTTCAATTTAGATTTGAGAGATTTTTCAGAAATGGGTTAGCACCCCCACCTGCTTACTTTTTGATTTTCCAAAAGGTAATTTACCAGTCCAAAAATACAGTGCTCAGCTAATTTGTGATTACCATGCAGGATTTTGGTTCTCAGGTTCAAGTTTTTGTATGAGAAATGGGTAAAATTCTAGAATATCAATTGTCCAGAAGGACAGATTGTTGAAATAACAGAGTTTGCTTTGTCAAAAATTTTTTGGGAACTTGAGGTCAACTGGTTTCCCCAGGAATTCTTTCAGGGATTAAGGGACAAGTTTTGAAGGCTAGAAAACTTTCCTCTGTAAACCTGAAGCTAAAAATTTTTACTCCTAACTTTATTTTGGACAGCCTCTGGGCACTAGAGTAATTTTCAAGTATTGTAGGTAGTGCATATCAATTTTTCCAGAAAGATTTTTGGGCTTGTTCAAATCAGTTTGAACTCCTTCCCAGGATAAATTTCTCAGGAAGATATTCCACAGTTCCCACTGCAGGGTTCAGAATTTGCAATGGGGTAATAGGACAATCTTCTGCATCAAAGCCAATAGGTCGTTGATTCAAATTGCATTCCACTCAAGCAAGGAAGGTCAGTAACTTGTTGTAAGTAAGTGTCCTTTCTTGAATCACTGCTACATTCATTGCTTTTTTAACTTCTTTAATAAAGCACTCCCAACTTCCTCCCCAGTGCAAGGTTCCGGGTGGATTCACATTGAATTGAATTCTCCATTTTGTTGCACTTTTCACTTGTATTTCTTTTTGTAATGACGAAGTCAGTATTTTATCTCCACCACAGAAGGCCATTCCTCCATGACAGTAGAGATCACCAGGTGTGGGGAAAAGATTACAGAGGAATTTCTTTTTACCTCACAAAACGTGAAAGTATTGAAATGTAAGAATTTCAGTAAAACAGGTCAGATGATTGGAGAAAATGAAAGACAGTTCAATCAGCCAGGCTGCAGCCAGGACTTATAGTCCTATTATAAGTTGGTATATTATTTCAAGACAAGACAGATAAGACAGATCAGAACAACTGAGATTTCTTCACAAGTACAAAAATGCCAATTTCGGAATTGGGTTTGATATATTCGATTTTGCACACGAGGTCTCCGGAGATCTGTTTGGTTTGAGAGTTCAAGGCAGAGTGAAATATTTGTGGTTTTCGGTTGACCACTACAACTTTTGGGATTAGAGATTGTTGTCCTTTCTATTACAGGACTGAGTCGAGAATAAAAGAACCAAGTTCTTATTCTGGATTAATACTCTTTATACAATGTTCTCATCCACATACAAACATTCAATACAACAATACAAATGCACAAACACACAAGTCCAGCTTGTACTTTACTTGAAATAGGCTTGAGCTTTAACAGAGCTTTGGCTATGGAGTTTACTGTATGAAGCTTGGATGAGATCTCTCTGTGATTTCACCAAGCAGGGGTATTTAAGCCTTAGCCAGCCTAGATGAGGAAACAAAGGAAATAATCGACGCGACCTTAATAGCGGAAATCCCAATCCGTGAAAGGAAATAATGTGGAAATCACTCTGAGTGAAATATGAGTGCGCTGGTTATACTTCAGTAATAATGACCATGCGCCACATGAACGAGGGATCCGAATATCACCGGATTTCACACAGAGTTGAGCTCACCAGGGTTCCAGGATTGATTGTACC